AGAAGCCTCTTTGTACAGGAATGCACCCCAGGGCCAGCAGGACAAGGCAGGAGAGAGGAGGGTCTTGGAGGAGAGCAGAGAGATGACTACGGTGTAGAATATGCTTGGCATGAGATGAAAAGGTGATGTCTGATGAGAAGGAGCTGCTCGAGGAGTGGAGGAGGACAGAGGGAGGGCAGACCCTTCTGAGGGAGAGCACTCACTGCTCTCCCAGCCCTCATGTCAGGGCTGTGCCAGCCCCTGCCTGTCCACGTGAACAAATGGACCATTAGCCTGATCATAGAGCCTGGTGTGTAGAATATGCTTGGCATGAGATGAAAAGGTGATGTCTGATGAGAAGGAGCTGCTCGAGGAGTGGAGGAGGACAGAGGGAGGGCAGACCCTTCTGAGGGAGAGCACTCACTGCTCTCCCAGCCCTCATGTCAGGGCTGTGCCAGCCCCTGCCTGTCCACGTGAACAAATGGACCATTAGCCTGATCATAGAGCCTGGTGTTTCCAGCAGGGCATTTCACTCTTTTCTTTTGTCCCTGTGTTCCCCATGTGGCATTAGATAATGGGATCTGCTTTGTAGGGAGCACCTCCATCAGGAGGTGCCCTCTCTGGCTGGGTTCTGCCTCCAGCCATGCCAGCTGCTTTCTCAAGTGCAGAATGTGTTTCTCCTGTGATGCCAGGGTGCTCTATCTCATTCTATGTATCCTCCTCTGAGAAGATCCAGTAAATCATGGTGGTTTTTCAGACACGAGAGTTTCCTTGCCTGTGCACCTTGGCAGGGCAGGCATTTCTCCGACCACATCCTGCACTTTTCTTCACCTTTCTGGGGTTTTTTAAGCTCTTGAAATGCTCCTATTTATTATGAGCCCCCACAATGGTGTCTAAGTCTTTGGGGTTTGGTGCTGTAGGAGAGGGAAAAGTCACCAAAGGCTTCACATGGGCTGTGTGCAGGGGACAGTGATTCCTGTGCAGTCTGTGCCTTACTTCTCTGATGGTATTTCCCCTGGTTTGTTTCTTGTGAAGTACAACTGATTTCAGTGGTGCCTGAGAGTGTTTCTGTGTCATCAGGTCTCAATTACCAGTCCCTAAGGGCCTGACTGTCAGCCTGGTAGCGTGTGAGTTCCCCTTGTAGGACAGTGATGTCAAAATCCTCATGTTTCTTCTCCTTTCCCCTCCCTCTTTCCGTTCATCATTCATGGCTGAGTTTCCCTGGGTGGGACTCCACGTCCAGCTTGCTGTGCTCTGCCCTCTCCGTCCCCGCGGCGTTCGGGTCCTCGTTAGTGTAACGCGGTGCTCGGAAGGCAAATGTCAGCTCGAATCCTGACTTAGAAATTTCTCAAGAGTTCATCGAGAGGGAGTTTATCTTTCAACAGTGACCTTTCCTGTTGAACACGGATTAAGGTGCGCGCGGGGTCTGTGTTAGCACGGCAGTTTGCAGGAGCGGGCGCTGGGTACGTGCTCTGCAGTGAGCCCTGTGCCCAGCCCTGAGCCTCAGCCCGGGCTGCCAGGCTGCTCTGGGCTCCAGCTCTTGGCTCCTTGACACGGTGCCTTGTTGGCTGAATGTTGAGGAGCATGTTAAATGGGGATAAAGATGGCTCTGCTGAAGGATGCCAGGATGAGTCGGGAATAAACCAGCCTCACTCCTTGAAGAGGTCCAGCTGTGCCAGCCCTGCACAGAGCTCCCAGCTCCACCAGCAGCATCACATTAAAAGAAACCTGTTCTGAGGCTGCTTTATGAACCCATGTTTTTTATAACATCCTGTGCCCCTTCTCCCTTTCCCTCACTGCTTTTCCATGCTTCCCAAACCACCAAGACACCAGGCAGAGTGAGCCCGAGGCTCCCCAAAGCCTGTCCCTCTGGCCTGCAGGCAAACGTTCACCTGCTGATCAAAATTCACAGACTCAGAGTCTTTTTTGTAAGAAAAACCACAGCAAATTCAAAGCAAAGCGAGCAAGACATTATACTGCCCTGTTCCCATCACTGCCTCAGCTGCTGACTGCTGGCCCTTGATCTCCATCGGTGCAGGAAGAAGCTTCTGTAGCCCAGAGGATGGAGGATCACTGGGGCTGAAGATAAAAGGCAGTTGGCTGTGACTTAAAGGCATATCTAATCTTTTCCATACCTCTCCTGACCTTGATCTATCACAGGGCTTCTTGGGGACACTTGGGATTGCAGATTATGCACAGAGGAAGGCTTTGAGCTGGAGGCACTTAGCCAGTCCTGGGGCTGTGAAGTCGCCTGGTGCAGGCTGGGTTCCTGTGCCATTGGTTGGGAAATGGGACCTTAACCTTTCAGAGCATGTTGGGAATGGATCCTTTAACTGCCAGGACTTCCTTTTTTTTTTAGTCTCAGATTATTCCAGGTTTGTGTAAAACAAACTTGTTTCCAGGTGTTTCTTGCCAGAATGTGTCAGGCTTTGCATGTTGAAGTTGTTGAAGGTCTCTTTGCTGTTGTTTCTGAGCGATGGTAAAGGTGCCTCTGGCTCCAGGTGAGCTCACCTGAGCTCTTGGAAGAAGGGAAGTATTTGGCAACTAGCTGTGGCTGAGGGAAGCATTAGAATAGGCTTTCTGAGTCGTGCTGAGCCTCCTGCTAGTTGTGGGGTCTTTCTGTTTTGTTGTTGGGTCTGAAGTGGTGGCTCTGGAAAAGCTTCCACCCTTTCTGCAGAGTTTTTCAGGCCCCATGTGGAGCAGTGCCAGGGCATCCCCAGCACTCCCCGTGGGCACCCCTGTGGGCAGTGTGGAGCTCTCAACCCATGGTCAGCAGCTGTAAAATCCCTGGTTTGTTATGTCACCTCCCTGCAGTCAGGACTTTGAGTTACCCGGTGCCAGCTCTTCCTGCAGCTATGAAATCCACATTTCTGCTCGCAGCGATGCAAACGAGAGTGGCTGGGCTGGGATGTGTGGGGACAGAGCATCTCTCTGGCTCCTCAGTTTGCTCTTCTCAAGGTGTCAGGGCACAGCCAAGCATGTCCTTGTCACCGTGCGCAGTTCCTCGGCCACGGATTAGTGACTCAGCCCTTTCCCTCAGGATCTGCAGTGAGGTCTGTCTGTCCCTGCCCCATGCCCAGGGAAGGTGGCAATGGGCTCTCCTGGCAGTGCCATGGGGTTCGCAGGAGGTTTTCACAAACCCCTCAGTGCTGTCCCACTGCCATGCTCCTGCTGGCACTCAATCCAGCTGGGCTTTCTGTGTGACTGGGCAGGAAAATCCGCATCCATTTTATTGAACCAGTAAGAAGAAAAGGGGGAAAAGTGCTGCCTTCTAGTAATAAAGGGCTTTGGAACATCTCAGCTGGATATTTTTCTTCACGAGTGAGAAGGCCAAATGTTATCTTGACATTTAATCTTTAATAATAAAAAAGGCTCTTTGTTTGCCAGTGAAGTCCAAAATCTGTTTACTCTCTCATGCCTTATTTCTTTTAACTTGCTAGCTTAGATGTCCTACTTACCCTCCCCTGCTACCAGTTCAGAGCTGCAGTGAGTCATTTATTTTGTAAAACTGACGTTCCTGACACTGCAGAGCCACCAGCTGCTCGTTCCTTCTTCTGAGAACTGGGGAAGGGGCTTGGGCAGGAGAGGTGGTGGTGGCTCTGCCCAGGTCCAGGCTGAGCCCACCACAGCAGTGAGAGCACGGGGCTTGCTCCTGGGCTGGTGTCCATGCCCAGGAAAACCCTGTGGTCATTCCACACAGCTCTGACCGCCGGGTGAGGGTCACTGCCAGACTCAGTGAACCCATCTTGGAGTTTAATGACCGTTGTGGGAAGTCGTAGCAAGAGGAAGAGGCTGAAGAGATCTTGGGATAGCCTGGAAGGTGGAGGTGATGGGACTGTGTGCCTGGTGGGGACACTGGGCAGGCTGTGGTGTTGTGCCCCATTGGGCTCCCGTTGGGCTCCCGTTGGCCGTTCGTGGGGAGACTGTAGTGGGTGTGGGTGGGACAGGCTCTGTGCTCCTGAGGAACCTTGAGGTACCACCCAGGTGTAGCTCCAGCTTCCCGCAGCCATCTCCATCCAGCTCCTCCCAGTCCGCTGGCTTTTCTTTTTGCATTGAAACTTCTTCCTCATAAATTCTACATCCAAGAGCAGCCGTGAGAAATGCCAGAAGCCTGATCATCTAACATGCTTTAATGCCGAGATTTCTCCTTTAGTATCATTCTTATTTACATTGTTTTTCTTTCTCAAAAAAAAAAATTTGAAGGGAGGAAAAAAAAAATTTCTTTAACTTCCACATTAGGAGGTGAGTTGTCATCCACCCTCTGGAATTCTTTTTTGCTTTTGATCTTTATTTCTTTGTTTAATTTTGGTTGGTGTCCCAAGCATGGTTTTGGAGACGAAGGTAGGTCTTCGCTCTCCAAATCAAAATGAAAAAGAAATTAAATAAAACACTCTCCTTGGTCATATCTAAAAGGAAAAAAAAATTCAAACTGTTCCATTCCATACCATTTAAAGAAAAAAAAATCAACTACTGAGCTATTTCTACAGCTGACTGATCTAAAAGGGCGGGTTTTTTCCAAAAGTATCGAATGGATCCAAAAAAAAAATTTTCCTAGATGCGATTGAAGTTATTTGCTGTCAACATTTTAATATCAATATTACCACAATGTGTAGTCTCAAACTAGTTCCTTTGTAGTTTGCATGGGATGTGAATGCTGTCTCGGCGTGCCCAGACCTAGACAACTTGTTACTACTGCATGAGCATCAAGTCAGATGTTGAAAAATACCTCTTATATTTTGTGATAATTTGGTGAAAATGAGCACCTCCAGTCTCTGGTTGCAGTAGTGTGTTGAATGATTGTTCTTTATTTTTTTTTTTATATATATCCATATATATATTTTTGGAGCTCTAAGCTTCGTAGTAGTCCGGGCTGACTCTTCTCCAGTACTCGCTCTCCTCTCGCATGGCCTTGGTTAAGTGTTAGAATTGGGCCTAGGCTGTTTATTCTGGTGTTTGGCTTTGTAATTCCGGTGCATGCCCGGCGTCTGGCCTCATACCCAGCTTTATTCTCTGCACACCAGTCTTGAATAGCTACAGTGCTCAACCGAATTTTGGCGCACCCGCTTCCCCGGCAGGCTCCAACCCAGCGCGGCCCGGAGGCTTCCCCGGGGCCA